GAATTTTAAAGCAATAACACTCTTCAGGCATGGGGTTAATCAGGGATAAACTGCATGTTGTAGTTGGATGGAGGCATTTTGCCTTTTCCATCTTTGTGCTTTTCCAGATTACAAGAGGAGTTCATATACCTTTTTGTTTACATAGGGGGTGTGTGCAGAATTTATACTGCACAGAATTTCACATTAGGTTTAAAAAAAAAAAAGTTCAGTTTTGTAATGCAGCACAGTAGACCTGATCTTGGGCCCATTGTGCACTTAGAACTCCCACTGAAATAAGTAGGCGTTTTGGGTGTGCAATGAATATATAGTAGTGGAGTCACTCATGCTTCCAGTTTTTCACATTGGGAACCAATTTGTATAACTGGATGCAGTAATAGCAGCACTTGTCTATGAGTAGGTAGTAAACCTTTTAGAACCCAGTGGGAGGTTCAAAACTATTCTGAAGTGACTTGAGCATTTTGTGACTCCCCAAGGCAGGTTAGTAATAGTGTTACTAAAGGAGGCGCTCTTAATCAGCAATGAAAATCTGTAATAACAGCTTGGATCTGAGTATCTTCTTTATTTTTTATTGTTTCTAAGTGAGACAATTAAAGATTTTGAAGTTTTCTCTTAATACTTATTTTGGGCTGCATTTTGCAACTCAATGGGAATTGTATAATAATCTTGAACTAAGAAAATTGTGTACACAGTATGTAAGCTTTTCAGGGCTACTTTTTATTAGCTCAGATATTCTTATAGCATCAACAATGTATTAGGCATGTGCAGACATAAAGACCAAGTCCCTGCCTCAAATATATTGTATTGAAATGTAATAAACTTAAAGAACTTTCTACTGAACTTGTACTGAAAGATTTCTGCAAGAATAGTTGGAGATGAGGGGTGAGAAGAAACAGGAAACGCCTTAGACAATATTATGTCATCTCAGACCTTGCAATAAGCTTTAAATAAATGCTAAAGCTAAATTTGTAGATTTCTGAAACTAAGAAGAATTGCTCAATGTTAATGTTGTAGGTTTTGAGCACAGTTGTATGTTTTTTTTTTTCTATTAGGAATGACTATTTGGAAAAATGTAACATTCTTTTCTGTCATTTTTCATGTTTTGCAAAAGTGTATATGAATTATAGGAATGTATTCCTATGGTTGTTAGTTAAAGATGTTTGTTCCCTTTATAATCTCCTTTCACAGGAGTGTTGAATTTGTCCCGGGGATTTTTATGGGTCAAATAAACAGTAATGTAAGCTGCACATCAAAAATAAGCTTCAGAGGGGTAGCCGAGTTAGTCTGTAACAGGAAAAACTACAAAAGTTAAAAAAACTAAAAAAGGATAAGGATGGTTAGAACCTAATACTGGTTTGAAGTGCTAAAACAGTTTGGCTTCCCATGGGCATACATAACCCTTATTTATTTGCCAAAATGGGGACCAAAGGGATGGGTGATGCAGCAGGAAAAGTAGATCACTGTAAGGTGAAAACTAAAGATGCCTCCCTTGTACTAGCATCTTTGCTGGCAGTCTCAAACTGGAAGGTCTGATTTACTTTCTCTTTGGATTAAAAAAAAGACTTAAATTCCCATAACCATCAGTCAGATAACTTGTACTGGCATTACACTGGAATATTTTAAAAACAGATTTCATGCTTAATGTTCTAGATTCTGAGTTGTTATTCTGGCCATTATTTTCAATGGTATTTCCCTGTATGTAGTAATAGGTCTCCTGATGTCAGTGTTCCTGTGGCTTTTAATCATAATTCAAGGTTACAGTGGATTAAACAAATGCAATTACAATGCACATTTCCATTTTCCCCTGACCTGGATCTGCTGGTTTTGATGATGTTCTTTAACTTTTTGTGCTAACCAGTTAGCTGTCTTTTTAAGCTGGGATCAGTCTGCACCTTTTTTGGGAAAAAACCCATCACAGCTAAGTATTTCCCACTCATATATTTATAAATCTTCCAGTCATCTTCAACCCAGATTTTCTTACATTTTCTGATTGAGTCACAATTTGGCAGAAAAGAATAAAATCACACTTGAGATTTTTTTTTTCAATTCATATTTCTTTTAAGCTAAAATAGCATGTTTCAAGCAATTGGCAGATGCCCACTAAAAGCCAGATGGTGGATTTCCTTTGGTTGAATCATTTAGGGCCTGTGCAAACTAATTTAAAGCCTATATCACTTAATAATTACAGTGTGAATGAGGGAAGCTTCATTTTTGAGCTTACAAGTGCACAGAAGAGTTATTTGCAAGACAGGATGGCTTTTTTAAAATGGCTTTTTAATAATATCCTAAATTTGTATTTTTCTTCTGCTGAAAGAACTTTCTTCTGCTGGAATCAGCAGTTTTCAGGAAGTGTTTTCCATTTGTAGGAAATGGAAGCCTGTTCTTAAGACACTCCTTTCCACCCAAGTCATGTGGTTTAACAAAAAAAAAAAAAAACATGTTTTGCTATGGGATGAAGTTCTTTTGCACATTCCTCTTGAAGATGAGCTATGATGAATTGCACAGTAAAGTTAAACAATTTAAAATACTCATATATAAAATGGGGAGGCACAATAAAGGAAATTAGTAGTAAACTAAACACTTATGTAACCATACTTGGACTCTGGGTCACACACAGAGTTTGTAATTGCATAACTGAAACCAGCTGATAATAAACAGTATTTTTAGACACACAAGATGTATACTTGACTGTGTTCTCAGAACAGGCCAAATCTTCCTTTGTTTCACAAAGCAGGGAAGCTTGTAGTTTCTCCTCAAACCAGGTTGCTGCCATACTGTAATTAGCAATGGGAATGATGGGATCTCAGCAGTAGCTTATGTTGCTGCATTTCCTTTGTTAGCTTTATCAAGAATATCATGATTACTTATGAAATTATTTTGAATTTCAGCTAAGAGAGAATCTGTTGTAATTACATTCCCTGCTTCCAAACTCCATAGGGAAAAGTGGAAGCTGCTCTCATTTCTGTGTTCTTCGCATGCTTGATACTTTTGATGTGAGTCTGTAAAAGAACTGAAACGGTAGGACCTGATCCAGATCCCACTGAAATCATCCGTAGAAAGACTCTGCTAAAAGACTCATATTGACTTCAATAGTTTGTGGATCAGCCCTTAATGAAAAAAGTTCTTGACTAACCACTGAAGGACAGATCTGTCACTGTTACTCAGATGGAGTCGTGCCTTACCTTGTGAGTGATTTTATATCCTTCCATGATCTACAGGACAAGTGTGGCAAGTGCTAAACTCTTCAACACTCTGATGCTAACAGACCAGATTCTGTTATGGTTCTGGCTTATGTAGCACTTTATTCCATTAGCTTTCTCATTGACTTCAATGGGACTAATTGAGAAGTAAGGGGTTCATAATCTGGCCCTTAATGTTCTTCATGATACCTTGTCATTCTGGGTATGTCTACACTACCACCCTAGTTCGAACTAGGGTGGTAGTGTAGACATACCCAGAATGACAAGGTATCATGAAGAACATTAAGGGCCAGATTATGAACCCCTTACTTCTCAATTAGTCCCATTGAAGTCAATGAGAAAGCTAATGGAATAAAGTGCTACATAAGCCAGAACCATAACAGAATCTGGTCTGTTAGCATCAGAGTGTTGAAGAGTTTAGCACTTGCCACACTTGTCCTGTAGATCATGGAAGGATATAAAATCACTCACAAGGTAAGGCACGACTCCATCTGAGTAACAGTGACAGATCTGTCCTTCAGTGGTTAGTCAAGAACTTTTTTCATTAAGGGCTGATCCACAAACTATTGAAGTCAATATGAGTCTTTTAGCAGAGTCTTTCTACGGATGATTTCAGTGGGATGTGGTAACTGTATAATGCTCAGATATTCCTGTTTGTCTGATTTGATCCACAGCTCCTATTGTTCCTTAAAGCGTTTTCTGAAACAGAGCAGACAAAGTTGGCAATGCTCACTGGGATCCTGTTGGCTAATGGAACGCTTCCTGCCACCATACTGACAAGCCTTTTCACTGATAACATTGTCAAAGAAGGTAAATTTTTTGTGTAGTACTTAAAAAAAAGTTTTTAATGTTTTGTTTTTTTCTGAATTTAGCTTTATGGGGACTTTTGAGCTCCACTGAGCTCTTCAGTCAACAGTTGGGGTTTCTCATATCTTGGGACCATCATAGCATCAATTACATTGCAAACAACATGGGAACAGTACAACAAAGGGTAACATTTTAAAGCAGATGCCGATACATACTGAAATAAGCCATCCCCAAATCCCAACTATAACATAGTCATCAAAGAGGGAAAAATAACAAAAGGCAAAATAAAATAAGACTACTAAAATGGATGTGTATAGACTACATCTAAAACCTATTATGAACAAGCTACAGTTTGATCAATCTGGAAGAGTGTTGTGGCATTTCAAAAGAACAAAATATAACATCAAGTCCTAAGCTATGTACAGTATTATTTTCCAGAGGTGCCAAGACTTCAAAGTTTATAATTCATCTGCGTGAGAGCAGAGGCATGCCTTTTTGATCCCGTGGTTAATATTTTGTCAACTATTAATTCAAAACAAATATTTGTATTCATCAATCCAAAAAAGGCCCAATTAACACAACACAGGACTAACCAATGATTAAGTGAGCTAGAGCAGAGATGGATTTAATGCAGTTTGCGTGCCCATTCAGAATTACTGAAGCAAAAATATACCATTAAAAGAGGGAGAGATTTATGTTTGAAGGGCTAGCTGACCCATACTGTAGTATCTGCCTCTGAGTTTTTGAACAGTGGCTACATTTTTTTTGAAAATTGCTTATTAATCTTTTTCACTCATTACTTTCTAGCTTTGACCATTTCATTAGTTTGTGTAAAGCAGGAGTGCAAAAATATAACAGATTAACAATGTCTCCCATGTGTAATAACTTTTCAAGCAGAGTATTAATTAGTTTGTCACTAAAGCTATTAAGTTGTTTCAGTAAAATGTCTATTATAGGAACATAAAGAAAAAAGTGATCAAAGCCAGGGTAACTTACAGCAGATCTGAATCTGGTCCACAATGTGCAGTTTACCTCTTTTGATGAATACAGCCCCACTTGTGTGGACAGATTCCATAACAATAGAGAACTCTTGAGTCCGTTCTTTTCAAATTATCTGTAATGGTGTACGGTTGGTTAGAGTGTTTTTAGACCAGTTCAACTGCTATGATACAGCTACATTGTTGCAAACCCTTCAAGTAAACAAGCAGCATATTATCTCTTAACCAGGGCCGGCTTTAAGATGCACGGGGTCTGATTCCAGAGACGGGGCCTGCGTGTGTGCCTGGCGGCGGAGCCTGTGCGTGTGCCGGGCGCGGGGCTCCCTTAGGCGCGGGGCCTCATTCTGGGGAATCGGCCTAAAGCCGGCCCTGCTCTTAACCACAGTGTTATGCTTAAAAGAAGCACACGGGATCTTTTTTGGGGGGATAAGGCAACATGCCGCATTTATTGATGATATAATGAAATAGCATATGCGCGCACACACACACACACACACTCTGATGGAATGCTTATAATTAAGTTGCTCGGCCCAACCTATTGTCCGGACTGATGCCCCTCCTGGTCATGATCTTAGCAGGACAGAACCCAAAGAACCCTACAAAACACCCCATCTTTTATAGGATATTTCTTTCCATGCAAGTCTATGCATTTTGCCTCGTCATGCTGTAATTAGTCATTCAGCATCACAATCAATCTTCTTATAACATGTGCTTATTGGGAAGAAGTTCTCACAGTCATCTGATATCAGTATGCTGACAACCCCTCAGGAATGTTGTCTTTCCAGCAAAAGTTATGATTGGTTCCCTATTAAGGGGTGCTTGCCTCTAGTTTCAGGGTTTGTCAATCTGCCCAGGTAGTCTGTCTTCGGTGTGCTTTGATTATTATTTGGTGCTTCTGAGTCTCCAGCTCCTCCTCTGGCCATTTGAGCATGCAGTGGCCTTCACACTTATCTTTCCTAAAACATTCTCTCTCTCATTCACGCAAACAATACATTTACATAATTGCAGCATGGAAAAGGGGGTACTGCTAGTCACTTTAACAAAGTTACAAAGTCTTTCCGCATTAAACTGTTTTCTATCTACTGCAAGGCCTTATCTAACACTAACATCGCTATGTATTACAACGGGGGTTCCCAAACTTTTTGACACCAGGGACCAGTAAATCTATTCACGAGCATTTAGAGGATGGTAACATTAATTTGCATATTCATTAAGCAAATGATGAATATGCATATATGTTGTTTCTGCCCCCCCCCCCAAAGACCCCAGTACCAAATTTAGCAAAGCTTTTGATATAGTCACCCACAATATTCTTGCCAGCAAGTTAAGGGAATATGGATTGGATAAATGCACTGTAAGATGGATAGAAAGCTGGCTGGACCAGGGTTTCTCACTTTTTACTTTAGTTGGAACCCATTTTTTTTCAGTACTGTTTTTTTGCAGTTCAAAAATATAAACGCATATTAAAAAAAATGAAAAGAATAAATTTTCACTGTTTATTATTTATTCACAATAATAATAATAGTACATAATATAAATAATGATATAAAATACTACCTAACTTATTATTACCTTAATTACAATTTAACCAGTAGACTTTTAACAGTTGTAAAGTTTTTATTTATAATTGAATGAGCTGAATATAAGTCATTTATTATGTGTGCACTTTATCGCTTTTAAATAACTAAAAAGAGAACTAATGGTAAGAGTGATGTTGTTTTGCATCACACAGCAACTTTGTCAGGAGCAAAAGAAGAAAGTTTTATTCTCAAATTTGGTTTGACATTCAATCTATTTCTATATTTATGTTTTAAGAAAACCAAAGACACGAAATTAGTTTCACACTTATATGTTGTGACAAAAGGCATTAAGAATTTGACTGCTTTCTCAGATAAATGTGAACATTCATTTCTACAGCTCAACCAAAAATCAATCGAGCGTTTATCAAAGTTCTCTTTTAAGGCAGAGTCACAGGACAGTTCAATTAATGACTCCACTTCTGATGCATTCAGTTGTAATATTTCTTCATTTTCGGTGTCAACAGTAAATGGGTTTTTAATCCATTTTATTGGCGTCAACTGGAGGAAAATATTCATTTAAGCTTGATGTTAGTCCAAGAGATGTTCTTGGATTACTGCAGAAATCGCATCTGAGACATTAGATTCAGCATATTTTTCTTGTAATTCAGTTAAAGTAAAAAAAATTTAAAGTTTCTCTTGTTAACTTGCTGTGCCCATAAACGACATTTTTAATTGTTGCCTAACTTTGAAAATATTAATTTTAGTGCCTTGTAAATTCAGACTTAAGTCATTTAAAAGACAAAATGTCTCATAAGTAAGCCACCATTGCTAACCAATCAAATTCATGAAACTTGTCTTTAAATGTAAATATAACATCTTTTGCCGATAGAGGGTGTCGCTCCAAGAACAATAAAACTTCATCCTTCATTTCAAAGAGTAGTTTCAAAATGTTTCCTTTCGACAGCCATCGAACCTCACAGTGTAGTAAGAGATGCTCATGTTCACTTCCTAATTCGTTGCACAAAGCAGTAAAGATTCTGGAATTCAAAGGACGAGATTTTATATAATTTATAAACTTTCACACATTCTTGAAGAGTGGAACTCTAAAGTGATGGCATTGTTTTTACAGCTAGTGCCTCTCTGTGAATACTACAATGCACCCATACGCAGTCTGGCACTACAGCTCGAATCCGCAGGACAAGCCCAGTGCGAGACCCTGCCATTGCTCGAGCCCCATCAGTGCTCAGTCCAACACATTTTTTCCAGTCAATATTGCTTTGAATAATAAAATCCTTGATTAGCTTAAACATTTTGGCAGCTGTTGTTCTTGTTGGAAGTGGTTTACAGAATAGTTAGTTGTTTTTCCAGTTGTGTTCTTTAGCCATTTATCCATACTGAAGATGAAAATAAGAGGGTATTTAATTGAAAATAAATGAAGAAAATGTAAGCAGTTAACCTAAGAAGACGTTGTCGTGCTGTGCAGAAACAAGCTGAGGCTGCTGTGTCACATGATGGAAAACCAATGACACAAACTTGGCCACATGAAAACGCACGCATTGGGGAGACGAAGCCCTTTCCCTGGGGCCTACTGCCCCCCTTACCAAGTGGCCTAACTTCCTCGGCAGTGCTCAAGTGCTGTGCTGCCTGTGCAGAGAGCCCGCCCCTAGGCACAGGCTGGAGGCTCTCAGCCCCTGTCCCCTTCACTCTGGAAGAGCCAGCGCGACAAGGTGCTAGGACCGGGCAAAATTCGCTCACCCACCCATCGAGGAAGTAAGCACTGCCTGGGATCCTATTCATTATTCCGAGTTCTGGCAGGGAGATGCACAGAGACTGCCGCCACCTAGCAACCCCGGTTGTATCCTCCGCCCAGCCCAACCAAGGGCTTGGGGGACCCGGCGCCACACGGGCACTATGGGAGTGCAGAACACCCCGGCAACCACGCTGAGGCCTGGTAATTTTCTCCTGAGGCCCAGTACCAGGCTGCAGCCCATAGCTCCCCTGATGTAGCTTTTTCCTCTTCTTTTTTCGGAAGAGGGCCAATGTTGGAAAAATGTTCTACACGGGGCCAAATGTTGGAAAAAACCCCTTTTTCGGAACATCCCTTCTTGATACTCAGTTTGGGAAACGCTGCAAACGACCACAGTTTGGGAAACGCTGTATTACAATATTCTATCCCTTCACTTCAACATGCTAACATCAAACAGAGCTGGAGCTATGTTAACAAAGCTGCCTGGCCCTGTGTGAGATCTACATCTTGTGTTTAAGTTTAATTCAATCCTTTTGCTATAACATATTATTATAACTGACTTATTAGTTACAAAATTCCATTCCAGTGCTATAACAGGACTGTGACATTAAGGCAATGACCTTCAAAATGAGACAACACACCTTCTTTGGAGTATGTGGTAGCATAGATCCCTCTTCTGTAGGTGTGCATTTGCCTTGTGTAAGAACTGGATTTTTAATAGTCATGTCTGTCAGGGGTGTGCATGCTCCCATAGATGCTGGAGGGGCTTCTGTACCCCTAGGTTGAAGTGGGTCTGTCATATACAGGGTTTATAGTTTGGTTCAGTGGCTTTCAGCACCTTCACTATGAAAATTGCTGCAGTGTCACTGCATGCTCCTGTGCCATCTTATGCTCACATGTGAGGACATAATAAAGGGTGTAGCAGCTGCACTTCTCCCTGAGTTTCATTTTGCTGCTTGAAACAGTGAGACTGAACCTGGGGAGTGTTCAACCTACTACTGTTTTTTTTCCCCCTCTAGTTTCAAACATGCATTATTCAACAAAGAATCATCTTCCCATCTATCTTATTTTTTTTCCCTCCAACTGATCATTCTCTTCCTTTGTGTACCGTCACCCTAAAAAAAAAAAGAAAAGCAGATACTCCATCATTAGGGATCTGCCAGAATGCTACTTTGTTATGAGAGACAATGCCAAGTATGAGAACTTTTGCTCCAGAATGGGCCAAACTAGGATCATTGCCAGATGCCTTTCTCCCTGCAGTAGTATGCCTGTCTAATTCCCCTGATAGTGATTTCCAAGGTTGAAAGGTCATTCTTGAAGCTCATCTTGAGTGAGGCAGTTTTGGCTGATTGCTATTACAGATGACCATTCACTTCCAGATCCAGCTTCCAGACTTTCCAGGTCTAATCTCTCAGCCCATGGCCAGATGCTCCACCCAGACAGATAGTCATTGCACTTGGCAGCATGGCTGTTGGTTGGCTGAGTACCATGGACAGGGACTACTAGAGGTCTGGGAAATCCTAAAACGGGAAGAAAAGCCTCTACCTGAAAAACATTTGTCTAAATAGAAAAGATTTTCAACACAGACCATCCCAGCCCAATGTCAGCATCCTTAGTTACTTACTGCATTTAAAGCAGGCCAATCTTCCTTTCAGCTCTGTTAAAGACACTTTGTGTAACACAATACATCTCGCAGTATTACCAGCTGGTTGGTGTAATTTTTCTCATAAA